AGAGAGAGAGAGAGAGAGAGAGAGAGAGAGAGAGAGAGAGAGAGAGAGATATTAATTGTTCTCACTGTGAGGAAATTTCTTCTAGTGATAGATAGATCTGGCAGGCTTGCTACCTGCAGTAGAGCATCCATGTTCAAGGCAGTTTATCCTGAACAAGTCTCAATCAAATAACTGAGTGTGAGAGGCCATGGAAAGAAAGTGGGGAATGAAGAATATGGTTTACATGAGAATAGGCGGCGGAGTTTAGGGCAATAGGAAGCCTTAATTAACTTACTGAAACTTTGGCTGACAATTCACTCTTTCAGTTTCCGAGATTCTGCTTCAGCCCAGAATAGCATTGTAACCCTCCTCTTTCTTTCCCTCCCTCCTCCCACCAGCCCTGTGATCACCTTGCAGGAGTCTTTCTTTTTGGATTCAGCGCACATCATGTTCTCCGTCACGGTCCCATCATGGTATCTCCTCATATTGCATTGATTTCGAGCGATGATGCCGAGTTGCACAAACTGCAGCCTGTCCGGTTTCTTTCCCGTATTGCTGATAATGCCCCAGCCGGCCACTTCGCACCGAGTGTTTGCAGGGACATCATTGTTTACAGTCTGGTATGCCAGGATCTGCACGTGTGGTCCAAGGACTGCGGGCTCTGCAAGCTAATTTTGAGAGAATCAGAGATGAAGGAAGCAGACTGCATCCAGGATACCAATTCTTTACCATAAATCATCAATTTCACTTTTATCCCTGATTGCCAATATTCTATTGCCATAGAAATGGGAAGAACGGATGAGCATTAGGTTGAAAGTTCAATTCTAGATAGCGACATGTTTCTTTCCTTGTGCGCAGAGAAAAATATCTGCTCTGAACTCCATGTGGTGTCAGGAAGGGCATCTTTCCAATAAATCCTCAGCTCCATCCAGTGCCCTGACTCTACCCCAAATAGGGGTTAAAGGGTTGTAAAAAAAGGGAGTTGGTCCTGAAAGTGGGAAGATTAAAACAGGACCTAAGTTTGCACCAAACCCCACTTTGTATGATGGTTTTGTAAGATTCAGACATGTTTCTGCAAAGCCTTGCACAAAACAATACAAAAAAAATTATATATATATATATATATATATATACTTTTGTTAAATGTGCTTCATCTATTGTTTAATTCCTTTTATCAGCATGCACAAACACTAACAACAGAGATGTTAATACTGTATTAATTAGTTCAAGACTAAAACTATAATTACATAACTAACACTTTGATGTGAATTACATCTTTCTTTTTTACCTTAAACTGTACTCAGCTTGGATGAAAAATTAAATAATCTTATACTTGGAACACTGACATCTTAAACAGCAATTAATACTGAAAAGAAATTTTACTTTTCTCTTTTTATTTCCAATACTTTGAGCTTTTTAAATAATGGCATGTTAATTATTTAAAATCATATTACACAGATATTATTGCACTGAAGTAGCACAATGTATGATGATGTACAACATTACAACAAAAGGAAAAGAATAGAAAAAAGAGAATATCAATATGAGAGTTGCTTTTAATCATAGGTGTCCTGTATATGGAAAATGTAGAATTAATAGGACATGAAAACCTGCAAATGCATAAAGGATGCATGTAAAAATAAGGATGGGATTCAGTGTATTTATTTATGTGCTCATTTATAGCATTTATATGGCCACCTATCTCATATTTTGATTCTAGGCAACTTACAACAATCAGTTCTGCAGTTAGGACTTTCATCTTGACTTTTTTTTAACGCCACCTTCCCCATAATCCTATGTGAGTGTGCAATGGTCTGTGCAAAATATGATTTTTTTAAAAAAAATGAGAAAAGAGAGGATTTTAATGCCTCAGTCCAATTCGGAATCAAGGAGGCACTCCTTTTGGGGTAAGGATCTCACTTGACCTTTAAGTGACAAAGGAGCACGCACTCCCAAAAGGGAACAGAGTCAAGAGAAAAACCAAATCGGATTTCATTTCATCAAAATTGTAGCTGCAAATAATATTTTTAATAAGAATGGCCATCCAGAGCATTGATAATTCTCGCTTCCCATTCCATTAAAAAGTACCACTTAACAGCAATTTTTTGATGGGCATGTGGAGAGTACAGGTAGTCCTCGACTTACAACCATTTGTTTAGTAACCAAAGTTTCAACAGCACCAAAAAAAGGGACTTATGACCATTTTTCACACGACTGTTAGGATATCCCCATGGTCACGTGATCAAAATTCAGCTGCTTGGCAACTGGCATGTATTTATGACGGTTGCAGTGTTCTGGGGTCACGTGATCCCCTTCTGCGGTCTTCTGACAAACAAAGTCAATGGGGAAGCCAGATTCACTTATCAATCGTGTACTAACTTAACAACTGCAGTGATTTGCTTAACAACTGTGACAAGAAAGGTCATAAAATGGGGCAAACTTCAAGGAACAACTGTCTTGCTTAGCAATGGAAATTTTGGAGCTCTGTTGTGGTTGTAAGTCAAGGACTATCTGCACACTCAGCTCAGAAGATCTCAAGGCTCCTTCAGGCCTCTGGTTGTGTTGAAACGGAAAGAAGACTATTCTACAGAATCAGAAGGGCTAATGTTAAATCTGCAAAAGACAAAGAACAAAAATGAGATGGCTTTTCTCCAGTAATATTCAAACAAGTTTTCTGTGTTGGTGGGTAGGTGTGAAAATTTTGAGGGTCTTGATTGGCTGGTGAATAGGATGCATAACCTACCTAAGATATAGGAACCTCTCCTATGGGAAGGAGGGAAGGAATAAAATCACTTGTCTAAAAGGGGGAATCAACATAAAGTTTTATACACTATGGCTCTGTGGCGGCTTAAGAAGGAAAAATATTGGTTTTGTGGGGGATAAAAGCAGAGCTTTTTTTCTCATAGAACGCCCAGAACGGAGTTCCGGCACCTTTTTTGGATGAAACCTTGTAGGGTAGGCAAGACGGGTTATATGATGTGTGTGAGTTCCGGCACTTTTTTTTTTTTTTAGAAAAAAAGCACTGGATAAAAGAGACAATCATTTTAAATCATGGTTGGGAGCTGAAATAGGGCGAGTGTCATGGGATCAGAAGCTAAAAGTGGATTGGCCAGACTGCAATTCTGTTGCAGTTGAAAATCAGATGTTGGGAAAGTTGTGGGAAGACACCAAGAAACAAGATTATCAGTAGAAGACACTAAGGTCAAACCAGATAAAAGTAATCTTTGCTTGACAACCGAATGTACACTTTGATAATCATAGGTCAGTTATCCAATTGCCAAAAACTGTTATGTACACAGAAGCCCCTTATGGAGCTTCTGGAGATATCTGGGATGCAGGAGGCTTTGTCATGGATACTGGAAAGAGGGTGGTAAGCATTTCAGGTCATGACCCAAGGGAGAAGATGCTCAGGGTAAGGCAAAATAAGAGTATCTTAGGTCAGCCTCCCCATGTGGACCAGCCAGGAAATTAGACAGAATACAGGTAGTCCTTGACTTACAACTATTTGTTTAGTGACCATTCAAAGTTACAACGGCACTGAAAAAAGTGACATGACCATTTTTCATACTTACGACTATTGTAGCATCCCCATGGTCACGTGATCAAAATTTGGACGCTTGGCAACTGGCTGATATTTATGAGAGTTGCAGTATCCTAAGGTCATGTGATCACTTTCTGTCACATTCAGACAAGCAAAGTCAATAGGGAAGCCAGATTACTTAACAACCATGTTTCTAACATAACTGCAGTGATTCACTTAACAACTGCAGTAAGCAAGGTCATAAAATGGGGCAGAACTCACTTAACAACTGTCTCGCTTAGCAACACAAATTTTAGGCTCAGTTGTGGTTGTACGTCGAGGACTGTCTGTAGAATCTTGTACATGTAGTACAAAGTACAATTGTCCTGTTGTCACTTTACAGTTTGATAACTTAAGGAGAATCCCACATGAGATTCTTGCTCTGCTCATATTACAGCTGTGGACTCTGCTCCCTCTTATCTAGGGAGCACCTCCTCATCAGGTCTCCCAAGATCATTCCCACAGGCCATTAGATTTTCTTAAAAGGCAAAATTGATTTAAGCCATGGAATACCCACCTGGATAAGCAAGAGATCATCATGATTGGTGTTTTCACTGCTCCCTGGGTGAGGAAAGAGTTGATGGATTCCATACAGTCGCTTGTTTGGTGCGGCTTCTGAGAGTGAATGGGCTCCCAAGAGGACTTGAAGCGTCCCATTTTTCCTGCACCAGAGATTGTGGTTAGTGTGCATAATCAGGGGCCCCTATGTTAACATGTCTCTAGCATGCCTCCTTCTCATACAACCCTTTCCATCATTTTTAGATTGATGCATGTTTCAAAATAGATGTGGAAATGTAAAGAGTTAAAACCTCAATGGGATCTGTTCAGCTCAGCTCTTGGTTTACTTGTGATCCTAAACCAGGGCTAGGCAACCTTGGCTCTTTTATGACTCGTGGACTTCAACTCCCAGAATTCCTGAGCCAGCCATGCTGAGGAGAAAGGGAGAGATTTTCAAGCTGAGCCATGCTGGCTCAGGAATTCTGGGAGTTGAAGTCCACGAGTCATAAAAGAGCCAAGGTTGCCTACCCCTGTCCTAAACATAACAGAATTCCAGTTGAAGGGCTTAGTGCTCTCTGAGCTTGATTATTTTCTTACAGACATTTCATTACCCAAACTAGGTAACATCATCAGTGCTAGCGATGACACAGACAGCACCAAGAACCGTTCATTTCAACCCTGAGCTACAAATATTCTGTTTTATTAGAATTATAGTTGATTAAGAAGGAAAGTTAAATGAAAGATAAACAGATAAAACAAGCATAAAGAGATAAAAATATGCAAGAGGTCTAAGTATACTGAGTCAAACTTAAAACTAAGTATCACACTTCTTGAAACTGCTTTTCATATCTACATTTGATATAGCTTCTTAATAATCTAAAAAGTTAATCAAAAGGAAATTAGGAGTCAACCAAACTACATATGGAGATGATTGAGCTTACACCGCGGGCTAAAGTTTGGCTTGTTTAAATAAATGGTTTTGCTGATTGCACTACATGCACAGTGGCTGTGTTTACATAATTATGTTTGCCCTCTGAAACAATCAGATGGATGACTGCTATAAATGGGATGACTTGATAGCAAGCTTCCAATATTTGAGGGCTGCCACAGAGAGGAGGGGGTCGACCTATTCTCCAAAACACCTGAGGGGTGGACAAGAAATAATGGGAGGAAACTTATCAAGGAGAGATCCAACCTAAAACTAAGGAGAAATTTCCTGACAGTGAGAACAATTAATTAGTGGAACGACTTGCCTCCAGAAATTGTGGGTGCATTTAAGAAGAGATTTGGGCAGCCATTTGTCTGGAATGGTATAGGGCAGTGATGGCGAACCTTTTAGAGACCGAGTGCCCAAAAACTGGCCCCGCCCCTGCTCCATCCCCTGCCCCTCCCCTGCCCCGCCCCCACCCCACCTGCCCTCAGGGCCACTCACCGCCTCCAGGGCCTGCCGCAGATTGCCCAGGCAGCCCAGCAGCGCCATGGCGGTCACGCCCTCTGCCTGTGCCCCGCAGCATCAACTGTGCGCGATGGGGCATGAGGGCAGAGTCTTGTCTATGCTGCCTGGCTGCCATGTCCTTGGCTGCGCTGCTCCGCATGGGCCACGCTCGGGGGCGACTCTCCTCCAGGGGGGCTGCTTGGGAGGAGGGGGTCGTGGGGGGAGGCAAGGCTGGGGCAACGGCACAGGTGCCCATAGAGAGCGCTCTGAGTGCCGCCTCTGGTACCCGTGCCATAAGTTCGCCACCACTGGTATAGGGTCTCCTGCTTGTTATAAGAATATAGCTATTCAACCTTTAAATGTCATCTCAAAGGGAAGGGAGGGAGGGAGGGAGGGAGGGAGAGAGGAAGGAAGGAAGGAAGGAAGGAAGGAAGGAAGGAAGGAAGGAAGGAAGGAAGGAAGGAAGGAAGGAAGGAAGGGGAAGGGGAAGGGGAAGGGAAGGGAAGGGAAAGGAAGGGAAGGGACTGTGTCCATGTCTGAAATCCAGTAAGATATTACCTAATAATGGATTAGGAGATGTTTGTATCAGCCAACCTGCAGCTTCTTCTTTCTTTCTTTTTATGGACCAGATTGTCCTGAAAAACCGCCAATAATTAAGGCAGCAGATACAACCAAATGGTTGCCTTCTCTAGGCAAAGGAGTGGATTTCTGTGGTGGGTTATATCTTTCTACCTGCTAATTTGTGAACATTCAAGCTGGTCCAAGGCATAAGAAGAGGCAGGCCATTACATTCCTGGCTGCTGGACTGATTCCCTGCTGTTACACAGAGTGGAAAAAAGAGGCTTATTTGTGTGGAAAACGAGCTTTCCATCGCCAGTCACCAGAGAAGAAATCCCGCACTCACGTTTCCTCCAAGCAATGGGCTGCGCTCAGCACCCACCGCGCAGCAATGAGGAACCCTCCACAGAGATGCTTCCCACCTTCCTGCAGAGACGCCATGTAAGGCCTGAGATGGGGGGCGCTCTCCGATCCTCCCAGAATACGGCCCCTGGGACGATTCGCTGGGAGGGAGAAAATGCTGTTTTAGTCTACATCCTGGAAAACCACTTTACTTCTGCTCTAGAGCCAGGCGGGAACACACATAGGACCACATTTCAATATATAATTGAACAGGTTGGTGAGGAAGGAATATGGAGTTCAAAATCCCAGTGCCCACCTATCTGTGGGGGAGGGAGGCATGAAAATGCTGCAGAATTGGGTCAAACACCCCCTTTTTGTCCCTTATGCTGGTCCAATGGGTCCGAGTGTACTTAGTTTTTTTCCAGAAATAGAGGGGGGGGGGGAGATAATCATCTCTCTTTTGGAGTAGAAAAAAAAAAGGCATCAAATTAGAACTAAATTCATCTTGGCTTTCTTAAAAGTCCCATCAATCTGCCTAATGCAGAGGCTGACTTTTTTTTTTACAGACCCTGGAGAACTCTTCCAGCACTGTGGTGGAAAAATGTATTTTCTGCCTTGTTGAAAAAAGAAACACATGAAAACAGCAATGCAGTTCTTAAAATAGGTTTAAAAGTAGTTTTTAAAAAGCTCATTCCCAAATGTCAACAGAAAAATGGCATTTTTAGTTGCACGACAAAGACCCATCAATTTTGCAGTATGTCCCATTTCCTCTGGCCTTCACTTTCATAAATATATATATGAGCCACTACCCCCACATTTTGATGAAAGTAAAAGGCTCTGCCCACTAAATACCACCAACTGCTATTTAGAGATAGACTACCTCCATCCATGGAGGTTCCATTTACTTCTTGGCTGATAGACATTGCTAGATAAATTCCTCCATGAATTTGGCAAATTTCGAACAGTTATATTGCAGCTAGGATAATCCAATGATGGGTAAGGAAGGATATTTAAAGTTTTCAGAGTCCAACCTTTATGTCTTAATATCAGCACCTCCATAGGATGAAAGTACCGGAGGAAGAATCAGAGCAACAGAGAGTTTGATAAGTGAGTAAAGTTATAGTACAAGTAGTCCTTGACTTATAACAGTTCATTTAGTGACCGTTCAAAGTTACAACGACACTGAAAAATGTGACACGACCATTTTTCACACTTATGACTATTGCAGCATCCCCATGATCAAGAATCAGATGCTTGACAATTGGTTCATATTTATGACAGTTGCAGTGTCCCTGGGTCATGTGATCACCTTTGCAATTTTCTAACAAGCAAAGTCAATGGGGAAAGATTCACTCTGGCAAGAAAGATTGTAAAATGGGGCAAAATTCACTTAACAACTGTCTCACTTAGCCACAGAAATGTTGGTCTCAGTTGTGGTCATAAGCCGAGGACTACCTGCATTTTGGAAAGCTCTCTTGACATTTCTTTTTAAAAACTGAGCTGGCTGTTATTCTTATTTCTCCGGAGATTTCTTGTAGCTTCCTGTGTGATTTGTGGTTCCAATATTTCTTCCCTCCAGTGAACTGCCACATATTTTAAGGTGTGCTATCACCCATTTGTTTTGCATCTCCTAGCATCATCGCTTGCTTACAAATCTCTGCTTTTTCAAGCCCACCAATATGCAAAAGATGGCCTGGTCATTATTTGGGGAATATGAAGGAAGCCTGTTCTTGCTCATAATTTTTAAAGAATAGAATACTTCAGCTATCCAGGTTTGGCTACATGCACACAACAAATTAAATCACAAAATAACTACGCAGATTTTAGACTAGCTTGTGGCTGCAAATATAGTCCCCACGATTTGTTGTTGGTTCAGAAAAGTAGGCTAATTGCATAAACTATAGTTCAGTTAATCATGGGTAAGCAAGATAGATCTGAAAAGAGTGGATCCTATACTTGCAGGGGAAATGCTAGGAACGAGAAAAAAGTAAGATAAACACAACTTTTAAGCTATAGCAAAAAAAAAGCCACGGCAAGCCAAGAGGAAGGAATAGAAGTGTGTTAATCAACTCACCAGATACAGAGAAGATGCTCAAGAAAACAATGAAGATCCAAAAGGAAGAACCAGCCATCTTTAGCTCAGGACTGTAGGCTACGCTTTCTTCGGATCTAATGCTGTTTTTTGCCTTACCATGAACTCAGGACTCAACATCAGTTTTCCGGGAAGGCCTTTGTTTTATCTGTTTAAGTGATGTCCTTGACGTCACATTTTGCAGCAAAACAAAGAGAGAAATGATACTCTCTGTTGTTTGTTTTGGCCCGGAAACCTCTGGGAAAGAACCATTTGAAATCTCCCTGAAAGTGAACTTTGAGAAAATTGTTTGCTTTCAGTTTGAACTTTGCCCTTTTGAAGACACTCCTGCAGAGATGTCCCTAGAAGGGGAGAAGGGACAGGGACCCAAATTAACTTTTCTTTCCCTCCAAATGAAGCCTTTAGTTCAGGGGTGTCCAACCTTGGCAACTTTTAAGACTTGCGGACTTCAACTCCCAGAATTCTCCCAGAATTACTGGCTAGGAAATTCGGGGAATTGAACAATTTTCTCAAAGTTCCATTTCAGGGAGATTTCAAGTGGTTCCTTCTCAGAGGTTTCCGGGCCAAAACAAACAATTTCTCTCTTTGTTTTACTGCAAAATGCTGACATTAAGGACATCATTGGGACTAATAAAACAAAGGAGACTTGGCTGAGGCAATGCAGATTCTAATCTAAAATGTATTATTTGTATCAAAGAACGGTCTTGCTTGCTTGGCCATAGGATCAGATTGATCAACTGCACACGAAATGACATTTATCAAGTACAAAGTTCCTCCATTAGGAAACAGAAGCAAAAATGTGCAGTCTATTTATTTAATCGATTTATATGGCTGCTTATCTGGCAAACACAACTCTAGACAGCTAACATGTAAAAAAAAATGTATGTATGCACTGATATCCTGCCTTCATTATTTTTATATGTAACTCAAGCCAGTGAATATACCTAATATTCTTTCCCCCTCAGCAACAACCCTGTGAGGTGGGCTGGATTGAGAGTGAGTGACTGGCCCAAAATCACCCAACCAATTTTCATGACTAAGGCGGGACCAGAACTCACAGTCTCCTGTTGGCCTTCATGTCTAAGCTGAGACTAGAACTCATACTCTCCTGGTTTCTAATCTGGTGCCTTAAATACTACTAGACCAGGGGTAGGCAACCTTGGCTCTTTTATGACTCGTGGACTTCAACTCCCAGAATTCCTGAGTTATAGCTGGCTCAGGAATTCTGGGAGTTGAAGTCCACGAGTCATAAAAGAGCCAAGGTTGCCTACCTCTGTACTAGACCAATCTCTCTCCCTCTCTCCCTCCCTCCCATAATAAGCAAAAAATGACAGTATATGGTTCCCCCGCTCAAGATAACTCCTGTTGAGAGGAATTTCCCCTTTCGGTTCTTCCAGCCGGGATTTCTCCCTTCAGCGCAGCGCCGAGGAAAAATAGATCGTGAAGCCAGCTACCGGAAAGAGAGGTTTATTCACGAGGATCTAGTTGAGTGACAATTCAGCAAGGATCCCCGGCTAGCTAGCCAGAATGTTTCTAAAACAGGGGTTTTTATACCCTTTTGTGGTTTCCAAAACTTGTCATTTCTG